CAGATTTCCAGATTTCCAGATTTGCTTGGCAAATGCGGCTTTTAATTTCGCTGTGACATCTCCCATCTGATGATATAATGGTTCCCAAAATATTTAAACTGTTATACATTGTACTTGCTTGAGGGTGGTATCATTGATTTTAATGCATGTTGGGGTTGGAGTTTTTCTGCTTACACCATTGTTTCAGTTTTCTTGATGTTTAGTTTAGGCTTAGGACCATGTTGTCACTCTCTTGTACTTGTTCGATAACATTTAATGGATCCTGTAGGTGTTCTTCATCTTCTGCTATTGATTGTGTCGTCTGCATAATCTTACTCTTAGATTGTTTACAGTATGTCCCCCTATCGAGATACCAGGCATTTCTTCATTTCTTCTATTCTATGTGTCTCATGATATTTTCACCATCATAATCATACAGGGAGAACAAGTCTGGAGAAAGTACACATCCCTGCCTGACTCCTCTTTTAATCTGTATGTATTCGCTGATGTCGTTTTCTATTTTCATTGCAGCAGTTTGATCCCAGTAGGCCTATAGCCTACATGTTCTTGACAATCCTTAAGTCCTACCCGTCAATATTGAAGACTTCTCTAGCATGTCAATGATCTTGTCGCACCTTTGTCGAATGCCTATAGATGAACTTGACGAAGATCTTTCTGTACTTTCAGGGCACGTTCTACTGTTCTGTTGACATAAAATTATCATATATATACATTACATGTATTGCATACAGTGCCTTTGACTTCAATAAATCCACACTGTTCTTGGGCTATTTCGGGGAGAATTTTATTTCGTATTCTCATCATAATATAATTATTCTGAATAGTATTTATTTCTGTTACTGTTATGTGGCTCATGAGGCTGATGGTACGATGAGTTTCACATTCATTTACATTAGATTTCTTTGGTAAAGCTATGAAGATAGATTCTGACAAGTCTGATGGAATATATATGTAAAGTGTCATACATGTTGTTGAAAAATTTGTCAGTGTGGTGATTCCAAAGTCCTCTAATTGTCAGGTCCTGCAGCTTTCCCATTCATCATCTTCCTTAGTGCTTTGTTGATATTTGATAACTTCTTTTCTTCCTTCATGATTTGAGGGCCCTCGTTATTTTCCACTCTTCTTTGTTCATCTCTATTGTACAGGTCACCGATAGATAGATCTATCTCAATCTCAACTATCTGTCCAACGTTCTAGTATCTTGTCTTTGTCCATGATGATATTCCTTCTTTCTAGCCTTTGATTTGAGGCATCCTGCTGGTCCACGAGTTCTTGTACTTGTATGGCACACCTCTCTAATTTTTCTGTACAGATCTTTTGAGTTCGCACTGGAATGATTTCCATTTCCTCTCATTTTTCTTTTTTAACCAGATCTCAAAGATTACATTTAATTTGTGTCTGATTCCTATGTGAAGATTCACATATTTTCCTGATTGTTTTTGTTTGTCCTTCGTTCCTCCATAAGATTACAAATTTCTCCAGTCACCCATTCCTTCTTTGCTTTCGGGGTACTTTCTGGTACAATGTATGACGTTTATTGCAGTCTCATTTATGTTTTAAGCTGTTCCATGTCTTGCAAAATTTCTTCTTAGTAATCTTAGGGGCCGAATTTGTTCCGTACAGTTATTCTGAATTTATCTTGCATTTCTTTGTTCGACTGGAGTACTGCCAAGTTTCGTTTCATATATTCTTGTTCATTTGTGTTCTTTTCAATCTGATTCTAAATTTTCCCACCACAGGTACATCATAGTCATAGTACTTGGTCACTTTGTAAGTGTGACTATGCTCTCGGGCGCATTAAAAAAAAATATAGTAGAGGGTTTTACGGCGCTCACAACTGCATAAGGTCATATGAGCGCCAAGGGGTGGATGTCTACAGAGAAGTCTTTACAGGGAATCAGACTTAGACTGCTCACCTCTCCTCTAGCTTCAACAGAACAATGTCTGCTTCGACTATCAAGGCACCCCGGAAATAGCAGGTCACAAGAGTGTGACAAACATACAAAAGTTAAGAAGTAGAGGAAAATGACAGTAAGGACGAGGAAAGAAAAAGCAGCAGTTCCCTGTTGTAGATCAGGCACAGTTATGAGCGTGACATGAATCTGCCCATTTACAATTCTACTGTGCTTGAACGAGAAATGTCCCCCCTTTGGGAATGGCCTAAAGACACTAGTCAGTGGCACTGCTCGGGCGCGTTTTGACAAGTAGCATTTAACAAGAGAGTAACACGCCCAAAAAAGAAAGAGGGGACATTTTGATTTATACCATGTATTAAAGGATGACATTGTATGTGGCGTCGGTGGCCTTGTGGTTAGGCTCTTGGACTCGCAACCGTAAGGTCGTGGGTTCGAATCCTGTCAGGGGCCCGACGTTGTGTCCTTGGGAAAGGCACTTTACACAAATTTTCCTCACTTCACCCAGGTGGGACTGGGTACCCACCCAGCTATAGACAGTGAAAGATCTTGTCAGTTTGATAGTGTTTGAGCGCGTGAAATCCGCAGCTTGCACTGTATGCTTCCCGGGAAGCTGAGAATGTTTCGGAGTGTTCTATGGTCTGCTGGGGTAATAATATAGTGTAAAGCGCATAGAGCCTGCTGTTGAGCGGGGATATGCGCTATACAAATGCTATCTATTATTATTGTTGATAGTGATAGACGTTTGTTGATAGGAAAGAAGCAAACCACACGAGAGCACCCGCTAACCATCCACCTATGTTTTGTTTTAGTAAGTGTCCAAACAATGTTTTACGGCACTTGTAACAATAGGTTGCATAAGTGCCGAAGATTAGAGGTGTTACAAGAGAGTAACAAACACAAAAAGGAGTGAGAAGTATGATAGTTTTTGATAGGAAAGAAGGAGCAAACCACACCAGAGCACCTGCCAACCACCCACATAGAAAAATGTCTCCCCACTCAAGCCTCATGATGCGGCATCTCCCACTCACTTCACCAGACACTGGTGAGGGGAGGCACTTAAGGACCGTTTGGTTTGAGGAAAGAGAAGCACATTGAGACAATTCAATAATGGTCATTTTGATTTTTTCGTGCTGGGAAAAAGACACACAGAAACAACGGAGGGAAAGTAAAGAAGGACCTACTAGGGGCACCTTCCAACTCCAGTCACCCACTCAACCCTGGCTGAGAAGGGGGATACAACATCCCAGCAGAAAGTTGAGAAAGATCCCCGCAAAATTTCTCTCGTCTCATTTCCACCATCTCCCAAACACTTCACCACAGACACTGGTGAGGGGAGACCATTCAGAATTCACTTTGGTTTGTTGAGCAAAGAGAGTTCATCGACACAAAAATGGTCATTTAGAGCTGGTTTGAGTAAAGAGATGTGCAAAACAATAATGGTAATTTAGTGCAGGGAAAAAGTAATTTCTTTTAAGTTGGGTTTTACGGAGCTCACAACTGCATAAGGTCCCACGAGCGCCAAAGGGTGGATGTCTTCAACCATCAAAGCACCCCGGAAATAGCAGTTCACAAGAGTGACAAACAATATAAAGGAGAGTAGAGGGAAAATGACAATAGTAAGGATGAGGAAAGAAAAAGCAGCAGTTTCCAAGCAAATTGCATCAGAGCACCCACCAACCCTGGCTTTGAGTAAAGAGAAGCACATCGACACAATAGTCATTTAGTGCTCGGAAAAAGTATGAGAGACAGACAGAAACAAGAGGGGGAAGTAAATATAGAGGATACAAGTAAAACCCATAACAACTTTCCACACACAAGAAAATCAAACGAAGGCGTGTGAATTCAAAGAGATTTATTATGCTGTCTCCAGCTAACCGAAATATTGCACTGGAAAAGCCCAACGATAATAACAATAACAAGGAATGCTCCCCAGCTTTACAACATAGCTGTCATTTTTGGTTTGTTTCTGCCGACTAAGTTTCACCGACGATTTGGCGACCAAAAGCGTTTGATATTGAACATTGGACGTCTCCCGGCACATATATATCTAGTACTCCTCGCCTTCGTCTTCACCCTCAGCATCGACAGAGTCGACACCGACTTCTTCGTAGTCCTTCTCCAGGGCAGCCAGATCCTCACGGGCCTCGGAGAACTCTCCCTCCTCCATGCCCTCACCCACGTACCTGGGGGATAGAGGGAGAAATGAGGGGTTAGAGTACGATAACAGTTTTACGGTACTTGCAACACAATAAGGTCATATAAGTGCCGAAGATTAGACGTGTTACAAGAGCGTAACTACACACAAGAAAGAAGAAGCAAACCACACCAGAGCACCTGCTGATCACCCACAGTAAGAGCTTAAAAGTTTAGTTTTAGTGAGAGGATTAAAGCACTTGCAACACACTAAAGGTCATATCAGTGCCGAAGATTAGAGATGTTACAAGAGAGTAACAAAAAAGGAGGAGAGATAAAGATAATAGATGTTTGATAGGAAAGAAGGAGCAAACCACACCAGAGCACCTACCATAGGAGTTTTATGGCACTTGCAACACAAGTCATACAAATGCCAAATATCATAAGGTGTTACAGGAGAGTAACAAACACAAAAACAAGATGTTTGAGCAGTAGTCTCAGGACTTTGATGGTTGAAATATAAAATTGTCATTTAAGTGCTGAATTTAACAGGTTGTTGAAGAGTAGAAATACAAAGAACAGAAGATAACAATGATAGATGTTTGACAGGAAAGAATGGCAAACCATAAAAGAGCACCCGCCAACCACCTAATCACCATCATTTTCTATGTAGCCCCCAAAATGTTTCCACCGACCAAAATACATGTAAATGAATACATTATGCCAAAATAACAGTTACAGTGCATCCTCTCTATAACGACCTTCCATGCAATGAAGTGCCCCCGATTATTTTTTCCTTATTAACATTTATCACTGGTAATATTTGGATACTTCTCTATAATGACATTTTCTTTTCTGGTCTTGATGTCGTTAGAAAGAGGCTGCACTGTACATTGTGTCAAAATCTTAAACCTCTATTAATCCTTGTTTCCGATCGTGGACACTTACCAGTGCACAAAGGCCCTCTTGGCGTACATGAGGTCAAACTTATGGTCCAGCCTGGCCCAGGCCTCAGCGATGGCCGTGGTGTTGCTCAACATGCACACGGCACGCTGCACCTTGGCCAGGTCACCGCCAGGCACCACAGTGGGTGGCTGGTAGTTGATGCCAACCTGCATAGAACAAACAAACAGGTTTTAGTTAGCGCTCACAGAAGTGCCTCGGGATCGGCTGCGAATTGTTTCAGTAGAGGTTTTACGGTGCTCGCAACTGCATAAGATCATGAGCGCCAGAATATTAGAGCTGTTACAAGAGAGTAATAAACATAAAAAAGAAGGGGAGATAAGGACGATAGGCGTTTGATAGGAAAGAAGAAAAACTACACAAGAGCACCCGCCAACCCTCCACTCGGTTGCGAATGCTGACAGCGAAAACTTGTAAGCACATAAGTTAAGTCTTTTGTTACGGAACGCAACTGCATTGACTATGAAAAATATTACAAAGGTTATTGGCCACACTCCTTTCACCGTTTTTAAAATATGATAGCATAGACGTAGGGTAACTAACACACCAACAATGTCATCACTTAAAAGTGGCCCCCATGTGATTTTTTAACAGACTTATTAAATGCTAGGGATGAAGATGAAAATTATTTCCAAAGTTTACATCACTCTAGGCCGGGAGTTGGGACTGAATCACTATCACCGACTAAACAATTTCCATTAAAAAAAAACAACATAAGTTGCACCACCTCAATACATTTTGACGTAACCTACAAATATCGGCATCAAAATCAAGGCCAAGACCCCGCAATCACCGCCCAATAGCTCATGAGGGAAACCCCCCCCCCCTAGTTATTTCTGTTGTGTTCAAGGGTACCATCCTACCTTGAAGCCAGTGGGGCACCAGTCCACAAACTGAATGGTCCTCTTGGTCTTGATGGTGGCGATGGCCGCGTTGACGTCCTTGGGCACCACGTCGCCGCGGTACAGCATGCAGCAGGCCATGTACTTGCCGTGGCGCGGGTCGCACTTCACCAGCTGGTTGGCCGGCTCGAAGCAGGCGTTGGTGATTTCAGCCACCGACAGCTGCTCGTGGTACGCCTGGCAGACAGAACAAATACCGAGGGTTTTTTTAATATTTTAAAAAAACAACACATACAGTATAACATGGATAGCTCGAAGTAGACAGGACCGGCCCCGGTAGTTAACGTGATCTTACAAAGATAAAGAAAACAACCAAAAACAAAAACCAGGACTGCAGGCACAGTTCGGTGGATGCGTGATTACGAGTCTTTGTGTTTGACCAATTCGTGTTGTACTGTATAAATATTTTTAAAAGTAACAATAAATATTAGGTCTGAAAAAAATTAAGACCCCCACTCCCCCCCCCACAGGATTTCTTCAAAGGCAGTAATAAAGAAAACTTTTAAAAAAATGTCAAATACTATTAGGTGGACCAATGTCATGAGATTCCCCATGAACAAAGTATTCTTCAAAGACAGAGTGAATGAAAATGGCTTAAAAGAAAAATTAAAAAATCTAAAAATGTAGAAATCAAGCACAAACAGGAAGGGACGGAAAGAAAGGAAATGATTTCCAACAACGAACCTTTTCAGCAGAAATGACGGGTGCGTAGGTTGCCAGAGGGAAGTGGATGCGTGGGTAGGGCACCAAGTTGGTCTGGAACTCGGTCAAGTCGACGTTCAGGGCACCGTCAAATCTCAGCGAGGCGGTGATAGACGACACGATCTGACCAATCAGCCGGTTGAGGTTGGTGTAGGACGGACGCTCGATGTCCAGGTTGCGGCGGCAGATGTCGTAGATGGCCTCATTGTCCACCATGAAGGCACAGTCAGAGTGCTCCAGAGTAGTATGGGTGGTCAGGATAGAGTTGTAAGGTTCCACCACAGCTGTAGAAACCTGGACAAAAAAATTGAGTTTTTAGTAAGTTTTACGGCACTTGCAACACTATTAGGCCATATAAGTGCTGAAGATGTTACAAGAGAGTAACATAAAAATGGAGAGATAGAGACAATTGTTGTTTAATAGGAAAGAAGGAGCAAACCACACCAGAGTACCCGCACAGAAAAATTTGACAAATTCCAATTACTACAAAAACGTTATGACCATGAAGAAAAGAACTGGCAAAACACAGATATTCTTTAGAAAAAAGTTTTGTCTTATTAAAATGTTACACCCCGTGAACAAATCAAGATCATTACTTCCCTAAACCTCAGTGTGTAAGAGTTTACAAACAATGCCAATACCATTGTTACAAAAGACGATCGTAAAACAAAAACAAAAAAGGAAGAGGAGCCACAAGGGTGATAAATGTTCCATAAGATAGAAGGGGCAAACCACACCGGAGCACCCACCAACCACGCATGTGTGCAAAGCGCTTACCTGAGGAGCGGGATAGACGGAGAATTCCAGTTTCGACTTCTTGCCATAGTCCACAGACAGCCTCTCCATGAGGAGGGAGGTGAACCCAGAGCCAGTGCCACCACCAAAACTGAAAATCACAAAACAGCGATGAGAAACTGCCACACTGCCAGCTGAGAACTTTCATCATCATCATTAATCATCATCGCCTTTCTTACACTTAACTAGGGTATATAGGCCACAAACATTTTGAGCTTTTCCCTATCCTGCGCTCGCCTCTTGATATTCCAGCTCTTCCCACTTTTCTAACATGGCTTCTTCAACACAATACACAAACTTTCAAGCACATATGGGGGCTCTTTCAAACAAAACTAAACCACTTTTTACAAAAAGCGCAGATCATCTCTCCTTTAACTGACGAACATTTTTTGTCCATTCTGAAACATTGACATCTGTAAAACTTTTTCAAAATAATCAC